GGGCAAAGGGCAAGAAGCAGACACTGCTCGGGGGTGTGTGGTGGCTGCTGCTCGTGACGACTCCTTGTGGCACCACGAAGGCCTGATTTGATGTGACGTGTGTGTTTTGGGGAGGGGGAGGGTTGGGGGGGGAAGTGCGGTTCTGAGTTGAACGGTTGAGCAGAGGTTCGCATCCGCCCACCCTACACCACCACCCGCGCCTTTTGTCGTTGATACCGTTGAGTACTTGTACCACCGCTGCTTGAGTCCCTCTTCAACCATGCACCCGCGTACACCCCCATCCCCTACCCAATGGCAGTTGATTCTTTAATTCTTGCATATATCTCCCCTCCGCCCCCGGGCCCCCGTCACCCCCCGCCAAACCCCTCGCCACCCCCCCGGGTGCTACAGCGATTTCCCCGCTGGATGTGGCACAACCGCTCCGTGGAGAAATTCGTTGAATGGCTCCGAAACCACAACCTGAATGTCGTACGACCAGGCGCGGACAGTTCCAAGGACGTGATTGCGGCGGCTCGGCGGTGCGGGTTTTACGGCATGGACGTGTATTCTTTGCACAGCTCTGCCGACGCGGTGCTGGGGTAGGTGGCATGTGCGTGTGGGTTTTGCGGGTGGGGGAAGGAAGGCAAAAGGAGGGGGTTCAGTGGGGAGTCAAGACGCGAGTATGTGTCTCAGGAAGCCATATCCTGCCACACTCTTTTGAAACCCGTACCCCCTTTACCCCCCCCGGGCCCACTGCACGATCAGAACTGGTTTGACAATTTTGATTCCTTTACAAGGGAGGTTGCTACTACCGGTACCACTCTGTACGTGTGTATGTATGTATGTATGTGTGTATGTGTGTTACAGCACCTTCCGGAGTCGCCGCGTTACCAGCCTCCCAAGGTGTAGGTAACCTAAAGGGGGGGGGCTCCCCCCCTGGCAGCAGCTTCAATCGCGTGTGGTTCGTCTTTCCCCCCCTTCCTGGAGTCCTGAGGGGGGCCCCCAAGGGCCAGCAGCCTAGGGATAGTACGGCATGTCTTCGGCGCAGCAACCCCCCCTGGACACAACGCCGGGGACATCAGCGCACACACACCCTGGGCGGGATAGTCGGGACGAGAGAGTACGGACCAGTGCGGGTGCAGGGGACCCGCCGCCGCCATGTCGGCACAGTAGTGAGGTTCGCTCGCAGGGGGCGGTTCCGTCTCCTGGCGGCGGCTTTGAGTCCTTCGGCACTTCTTCGCAACTTGTTTTGGACACATACATACAGACTTCTTACAGGCTTAAGGCCTGACTTCTGCTCCCGGCCGACCCGGGTTCATATCCGCCTGCCGGCTCCTCTGGTGTTTGAGGAGTCTTGAAATGGGAGGTGGCCCCCCATCATATGGACGGTGTAGGACGTGATAAAGTCAACTTGCGAGCTGACCAGGAACTAAGTTGTGGCGCCGTTGATCCGCTAGATTTGGTTGGATGCTGGTGGTGAGTTGCCGAACCCAACAAATACATTCTGAAGTCGGATGGGGTGACGGATTAGGGTGCCCCTCTAGCAGGGGAGAGCAGGGACTGCCCCGGGAAAGGGGGCCGCTGGCGAAGTTAACCACCCTGTAACAACATACATACATACATACACATGGCCCCCCTGCCCCGGCAGATATCTTCGCCAGACTGACCCCCAGGCGGCTCGAGTGGTGGAGGCCAGGTACCGCTGCTTCGACAGGTGCGCGTGTGGGGGGTTATGTGGGTGTGCGCGTGTGCGTGTGCGTGTGTGTGTATATGTATTTGAATGATCTTCGGAGTCGTGATGAGGGATTTGCCAATGGTGTTATATGGATAACTTGACGAAGCAACATGTGTGCGTGTGTTTTGTGAAAAGGGGGAGAGGGAGGTTACCAGCCCAGGTGTCGGGGGAGCGGAGGGAACGGAAGGAAGGAGGGGCGGAGTTCAGGGAACAAGCGAGGGACACAAATTGCCGTACCGTGTCCCCCGTGTGAGTTTCTTCCCCCTTTCCCCCCTTCCCCCCAGCCCCCCACCCATCGCCCACCGCATCAGTGCGTATGGGGCTGCAGCCCTGATGGGATGGGATGGAGGAATGGGAGTCTGATCTAATCCTTAGTACGATCGTGCCGTACCGCCCACCATCTGGCGCTTGTGCATGTACGGCGCAGGTACGGCGCTGACGCACAGAGCTACGGCCTGGCAACATCCATCTTCCATAAGGTGTGTGCCTATATGTTGGAAGGGGGGGTTACGTGTATGTGTGTATGCCATCCTGGGTTTCGCTTTTCGAGTTACCCCGCCCGGCCCCCGTCCGTCTTGGTATGTTGTTCATCGGCAACCCCGGGGGGGCCCCCCTCCGGAACCCACCCAACCCCCGGGCAGGCTAGCTGCGAGGAGTCCGTCAATCGGGCGCTGTACGACATCCGCCGCAGGGTTGAGTCGTACAGGGCGGCCCCTGATGGCCCTGCCTCCCAGGAGGATGCCCTGGCGGTGAGGGAAGGGGGCGGGGGAAGGAATCTGGGAGGCGGCTGGCTGCGGGCGGAGGGGTGTAGTGGCGGTGTGCTGAGGCCAGCTGTGTGTGTGTGTATGTGTGTGAGGGGGGGAGAGGGTGTGTGTGTGTGTGTGTGTGTGAGGGGGAAGAGGGTGTGTGTGTGTGTATTTCCTTGAGTTTGACATAACACACGCTACCCTTCTCCTCTGCGTGTATCTTTGCTCCCCCCCCACACACACTTACACACTTCCAAACCCCTCACCCCCCCCCCAAACCCCTCCCGCCGCAGGTGGAGGCCAATGCCATGGTGGTATCGGGAGCTGAGGCCTAGTGAGCCAAGCGACCCACGGGTTGGCGGGGGGGTTAGCGTGTACGTAGAGGTCCCTAGAGATAACGTCGCTTGCTAGCATTGCCGTACAAGGGCCAGGATAACGTCCGAGAGTACCTGGATGCGCTTCATAACCCTTCGTGTACGACCGGGTTGAAAAGTGGTGACTTAGTTTTTGCGAGTGAGGTTCACACCTTTCCCCACCCCCAACAAAAAAAAGCGATCCCCTCAAAACACGCACACACACACACAGATGGTGTTTTCTTACTCTCGTGTGTATGATCCCAACCCCCCTGGCGCCCTCCTTCCCCCGGGCCCCCCCGCCTCCCGCCTCTCTTGCCCTGGCAGCAGCTTCAATCGTGTGTGGTTCGTCTTTCCCCGCCTCCTGCAGCTACCGGAATATGTTCACCCGGGACGAGATCACCTGGAACCTCCGCGACACGCATTTCTTTAATACGACACAGCTGGTGGAGAAGCACCTCGCCAGGCTGCAGCAGGCGGCGGCGGCGGAGGCGGCAGCGGAGGCGGACGGCGGTACGGCAGCAGCGACGCCGCCGCAGCCAAAGATGGTAAGTCCCGTGCGTTGTTATGGCTTAGGATTGAAATCGAATATTCTTCTAAGTCGTTTATTCTAGTAAGATCGTTACCACGTAATATTCTGGAAGAGTGCTGAAAAGGGTAAATGAAATCAGGTCAAGGCGCGCATTATTGAGAAATTCGAAAATATTAAAAAAAACCGGCAAAACACACATCGACCGAAAAGGCACCCCAATTCACTACTCGTCGTGGTGTACTTCGAAACAGGTTCTGTGGGCGCACAACAGCCACCTGGGAGATGCCCGATATACCGACGCGGGCTGGCGGAGAAGCCAGCTCAATATCGGACAGCTGGTACGGCAGGAGTACGGCGATCAGGCTGTGTCAATCGGCTTCACGACCCACACCGGTGAGCCGTCGCAACCGCAACAACTACCATAACTAAGATTTAACCACTATGCGATTATGCGATTCTTGCAACGGCTTGGAAACTCACCGCAAGCATCAGGGCCCCCTGATTGCCGCTGCCTGCTCGCCGTGAGTGAACCAGCGGCATCTGTTCATCGACGCAGCCGCACAGAGCCCAGGCAAGGAGACGCGGTGGGGAGGGAGATGGGGAGCGAAGGGAAGAAGAGTGATTGCATGTTTGTGTGTGGCTGACCTTCCTTAGCACCACCACCACCACCACCACCACCACCTCCACCACGACCAGCAACAAAACCCGGGTTTTCCCTTCCTTCGTCACGCTACTGCCCCTCCACACACCTCCACCCGTACCATCTCGATAACCATCCATATCTAATTCCCCGACAACGAAAACACGCATGATTTCCTGCGTACACACACACAAACTCGGGGGGTAACTGATTTACCCCTCCCCCGTGTAATGAATGTCCAAACCCGACATCAGGGCGCGTGACAGCCGCAGACGAGTGGGGTGAGGCCGCGAGGCACATGAAGGTCCGGCCCTCCCTTCCCGGCTCCTACGAGCACCTGATGCATGCCGCGGTGTTCGGGAGTAGCAGTAGCGGCGGCGGCGGCGGCGGCGGCGGCCGAGGAGGAGGGGGAGGGGGCGGGGGAGGGGGACGGAAGGAACACCAGTGCCAGGACCAGCATCAGGAGGGAGGAGGGGGAGGAGGAGGCGGCATGGGAGGAGGATTGCCGCCCGTGTTCGCGCTCAACCTCCGCAATGAGGAGCTTGCGGAGCGGCTGCAGGTGCATGGGCGGTAACTTCTTGTGTTGAGGATGGAGAAGTCGGGGGGCGACCGTTGCCGCGACCGTTGGGGTCAAATGACGCACACTCATCCAGAAATCCCAGCACAACTTGTGTCGCACACCATATGAATTCAGCTTGCCTGTCCGCCTTCCTCCCTGTCCGTTTCTCCATATATCTGTCTGTCTGTCTGTGTGTCCAGTTTCAATGCCATCACCTTTTTCCGTTCGTTCAGGTCCCCTTGTAGACCCCAAGGCTCCTTGATTGCAGCTCAAAAAGCTCAGCACACACCCCAAACCCTCTCCGGCACCCCCCCATCTCTCACACACGGCCCCCAAGGGCCCTCTGCTAGAACGCGCCATCGGTGTCATCTACCGCCCGGACACGGAGCTTCAGTCGCACTACTTCGAGGCGGGTGAGTGGGTGGGTGGGCGAGGACGGCTAAGGGACTAAGGGCTGAGAGGAAAAGAAGCGACGGTGATAGAGGTGAGAACTTGGATAGAGAGCTTGAAAACGTCTCAAATTTTGAGGAGACGTGACTGGCTGGCCGCGAGCCCACCAACCCCCCCTTCCCCCTATGTGCCGAATGCTTTCTGCCTTCCTGCGTCCCTGGCCCCGCCAAATCAACGGTCCGCCTCCGAAGCCGTGTACCGGGGGCATCCTTTTCCCTTACCCCCCGCTCTTTCCCCTTCTTAGTTTTTTTCATTTACCGCCTTCTCTCCCCTCTCCCCCCTTCAGTGTTGCCCCGCCAATTCAATATCCTTATTCACGAGGACGCCACGCGGGCTGTGGTCCCCATCGAGCCCGGTGACGAGTGGGCTCTGGATACCGGGCTGGAGGTGACCCACGGGGACATGCCGGAGCTGTGGCCCAGCGGCGTGTGATCAGTCGGCGGCGTCGGGGGAAAGGCGGGGGATGGCGAGAGGGAGGAGCGGGGGAGGCCTCCTGTGGGGATACGTACCGGGGACGGGAGGTCCGAAAGGCGGGGGGGCACTTCTTCTTCGGCGGCGACACGGCGGGGTGCGGCACACAGTGTGACAAAGGGAGGAGATGAAAGGGGTGGGCGAAGGGGGGAAAGGTAGAGACCAGGAGGAGCGTGTAAATATAGAGGAGAGGAAGGAGGAGGTGGCAGTGGAAAAGAAAAGGAGGTGTGAGAGAGATAGGAGGAGGAGGAAGCGGGAGGGTGTTCTCTTAGGTAGAGTGCATGCGTTGACAAGGGGGTGACCTCTATAGCGGCATCAGGAGACAAGGGAACCAGAAGAATAATTCGTACTTGTCGTACGAAGTCGTAGCCTTTCTGAGAACATGGGACACTCGTGGAGTATGCTCCCTGTCGTAACGTCGCCTACTTCTCACCGAGTTTGGAAATTTTTTGATGATCGGTTCACACGCCATTGAGACCTTCATTGTCTGTAGCCCCCCGGGGGCGATTATGCTCTATGCTGTTGTACATGAAATTGTTCAAATGCGGTTGTACACGTTGGCACATGTGGTATGTTAATGTTCTTATTGTTGAGGGTGGTGGTGGTGGTGGTGATGGTGGTTGGGGGGGAGCGGAGGAAGAAGCCTGCCGGAAAGGGAACCCTAAGTTGTCGACGTCCCGTTTCGTTCGCTGTCCTCCTTGTCAGCCCAAGAAGTGTCCCACCAGGTTCCCCCCACACAAACCACTGCATCAACAACGCAGTACAAAGGAGCTGAGAAGGAGCAGCGAGGGCCGTGTTTGGATTGTTACGCCGCGACGTAGCAGTAGCAGCAGCAGCACTGCACAGCAACAGCCACGAGGTACTTCTGACTCACCATATAAAAATCCTTCTCAGCCCATGCATGCGTCAAGTAGCGTCAGTTATTTATTCAATCAGCGCCATGAAGCAGCGCCCCGGGAAAGGCGTATGTGCAAGGTGAAAAACACACGCACATACATACGTACATACGTGGCCGCCGGGACTTCATTCCCCCACGGGCACCATCCACCGCACACCCACACTGTTGCCCCCTCTACCTTGTGCAGAATACCACCTGGTCACCGCATCCTCGTCAAAAGCCACCCCGCGCTTCACTCCCCACCCCCTCCCCCCTCAACCCCCACGTGACGCGATGGTGAGGTGGCAGTGGGTGTAGGTTACGGACGGTGACGAGGGCCGACCCCCTCTCTGTTAGCCCGACACGACCACGGCCTCCCAGGGAACACTTGACACCGGGGCAGGCGGGCAAGGAGGCGGGGGAGCTGTGGCACCACCACCCCACCACCACCACCACCATCACCATCACCACCACATGACGTCTATCCAACCGGCAAAAGGACCAAACAAAGGCCCCCAATAAACACCCACCCAGCCACTCACCCACCCACCCGCATTCGGAGGAGCTCTATAACCCTCGTAAGTCCACGGTCTGCTCCGAGCTAATGCGGCAGACAGAGCACCTCACTGCGACACTGTATAAAACAGTAGTCACCTCCCCCGCAACGGCTGCGGCAACGGAAAGTATCGCTGTACGGCTGATGTGTAACCGGGCGCGTCATCTTCACCACCAAATGTTCCCGCACGGTACCTTGTTTCCACTTCGGGACTTGCTACGCTATCCTCCTTGCGCAGTTAGTTATCGCTACTCGCGCTGGGTAGTGCCGGGCCTTATGGCTGTGATGGTGGTAATGGCGATGGTGGCCGCTAGCTGAGCCTTATGCTGCCGCTGCCCAGGTGACGCGGTGTTGCGTGTGTGTGTGTGCTTCCTCAACTCTGCCGAGGGCCCCCCGGGCCTCCCGCCCCCCTAAGCTCCATCAGGTGCTCCACCAACACTTCACTGGTGTCGTACACTCGGGTCTGAGCCCGCCAGGAGAACGGGATGGCTCCGAGACCGGCCTGTGGGGCAGCGGCGGAGTCCACCATAAGAGGGCGGTTCAGTTAGGGGCCCGAGTGATGGCGGGGGAGATAGGACAAAGGGGTCAACCAGCTGCTGACGGCTAGGAGGGGGCACGGCCAAAACACACACACACACACGCACACCCCTCTGCATTTCCCCCACAGCTCCGCCCCAACCCACCTCCGCCCCGAGCAGCGCGCCCAGAAGTATGCCCCGGCTGCAGTTGTCCCCCCCCAGTAGCAGGTTGGCTCGCACACCCCGGGCGAAGGCCGTGTCATCACCACCTCCACCTCCACCACTCATTAGGGAGTCGCTGCTCCGAGACCGGACCAGGGGGGAGGCCTGTTAGCGGGGGAATCGATGCGTTAAAAAGAACGCGAAGAGGTCGTAGCAGCCGCAACTGCAACAGCAGCAGTAGCAGCAGCAGTAATTATTATTAGTAGTAGTAGTACTTAAAAGAAGGGGGCCCTTGAAACCCAAGGAAAACCAAGTCCTCCTGCCCTCCCCCTACCTCTCCTCCCCCCCCCACACGCACATATTCTCGCTCTCCGTGATTCCACCCACTCACCCACTTGGCGGCTGTGTCCCCCTTTGCAAAGCCATACACCCCTTCACCCCTTTCCTCCTCCTCCTCCTCCTCCTCCTCCTCAGAAAACACACCCCACACCTTACCTCTCCCCCCCCCACACACACTCCCCCACACCTGCAGCGCTCCCAGCAGGGCGCCCTGCAGCGCCCCCGGGTTAGCACACGAGGGACCCCAGCTGCCTGCCTGGCTGCTGGAGCCAGGAGCGTACAGCAGGTCTCGAAGTGCCGTACCGCTGTGGTGGTGTCGTACGACTGCTCTCAGAGCTTCCAGAGCTGAACGGGAGAGGGCCACCCCGCTACCGGGGGCGCCATCAGCCGCCCACTGCGTCGCGTCGGAGATGCTGGAGCCCTTTTTGAGGGGGGTGGGGGAGAATGAAGGGGGGGCCGGAGGGGAGGGGGGAACGGACGGATGAATGGACGGGATGCAGTGGCGGCGGAGGAGGAGAGGACGTGGAGGAGGTGGCAGGACAGAAATGAACCGCCCAGGGTGTTACGCGCCCCGGGAGAAAGACCCCCTCTCGCCCCCTACCGCACCCGAGATATATCACAGAAGCAAAATATGAGTTCTTATTTGCGGGGCTTGCGGGATATGTTTGTATGTGTGTGTATGTGTGTGTGTCTATAATCTGCGCTGCAATACGGTGTTGCTCAGTGTGTGTGTGTATGTGTGTGCTGTGTATCCGGGGTGGTTGTGGGTGCTGCCTGCAGCGTGGGGGCCCAGTACGATTAGAGGGTCGAGGATGGGGGCAGCGGAGCCGACTGCAGAGGGGCCCTATGTCGCCAACACAACACCCCAAGGCCACAGGCACACAAACAAACATTCACGGCCTCACGGCATTCACTCACCAGTACGACACGCTCCAGAACCAGCGCCGCCACCAGGGCGTACATCACCGCCTCGTCGTTGTTCTGCTGCGCGCGCACCGCCGCGTCCACCGCCCCGACCAGCCGCCCGGGCTGACCCGCGTACCGGGCTACCAGGGGGACCACCTTGACGAAGTTGTTAGCCTGGGTGTCCCGTGGGTCACCACACTCGGGCCAGCCGTGACCACCCTAGAGGCCATACGGGGTATTGTGTGTACTTAAGCATTGTAAGTTTCTTTTGTGTCCACTCGCATCGCCCGCACCTGCATATTCCTCTATGTGCGTAATTCGCGTTTTGCAATTCCGGGGTTTTTACCATCCTCGTTCATGTACGGATGTACGGAATGTTCGGTTCTCGGAGGCCCAAGCATGCGCGGCTCCTCGGCACCTCTCCCGCTCCGCTCCACACCTCCTCAAACGCGCCCAAGCAGGGCCCTGCACACGCCCCTGTCCCACCCCTTCCACACCCACCTACCTGCAGCAGGGCCTCCATCATGGCCCGACTGCTCTTATTCAGACGACCCGTGTAATTGGCATAGTACTCGGCAAGGTACTGGAGGGGGGACCATATTGCGTGGAGGGGTACGGAGGGACGGAAGTACGGAAAGGGAAGGGGAGGAGGGAGACAGGGTCGGGATTCGGGGTGGGTGACAACCCTTTCCCACCCCCACCCCCAACCCCGGGGGGCAAACTTGCAACATCAAATGAGGGCCGATGAGGGTCAAGTGGTACCTAGAGGAGAACACGTGGAGGAAAAGGACAGCTAGGATCACCGGGTGGTGGTGGATGGGAGCTTAATTGAGACAACGTAATACGAATTCAACGGGCTGGGTTGGGTTGGTGTTATCGTCCCTCCCCTACGCTTTCCTCCTCCTCCCCCCCCCACACACAAACCACCATCACCAGCAGCACTTGACCCACCTCTTAACCCACCTGAGCGAATCCCGGGCCATCTAAAGTTCCATCTCGATGACTGCCGGGCCCGATGGTCATGTACTGCAACACCGGCAGCAGCTCGTCGCCGTACGGCGACAACGAGCCGCTTTCGTACTGATAATACGGACAGGAGGGCGGTTGGAAGAACGCAGGCTCCTCCGACCGGCCTTGCTCCGAAACCAGCTCACGGATTTTCTCCAAGTCGTAAATCCACTGTTGTCGCGGATGGGAACGTTGCTTCCGTCGGACCGCGTGTAGCGTGTATCATGTATTGTACTGTTGTGCGTCTGTTCGTGTGTTTTTGTGCTTCCTTATGGGTATCCGGGTGTCTGTCTGTAGGTATGTATGTATGTGCGTGTGTTTGTGTGCGTATGTGTTTTGAAGAAAGGAGGATACCTAGGATGGATATTGGCGGTTATGGCGAAAAGGACGCACATTCCTGAGAGGACCGCAATCCAGATGGGCAGGTGGGGTCAAGAAGTAGGGGGGTGTTCCTCCTGATGTTGATGGTTCCGGAGCCAGAAGGCCGCGGGCTTGGTGAGAAGTAGCAGACGATAGCAGACGAGATTCATAAGGCAAGTGGGGTGACTGGGCTGGGCTGGGCCACGCTTCGGGTTTAGGTGCCCGGCTCACACGCATCAGGCTTACAGGCATCAATCCAATCAAACACATGTTATCATGAGTCCAGAGCCTTACGTGAAGGCCCATAGTCGCCGCGTCAGCGACCAGAGCTCCCAGCACGGCGCCGATGGCGCGGCGCCGAACGAGCTCCTCGTCATGTCCGCCGTCGCCGTCATCACCGAAAACGGATTTGCTTCCGGTTATTAGGGGAAGTCTAGGGTCATGGGTGCTGCTTGTGTCCTGCCGCAGCTGCGAGGAGGAGTAGAAGCAGGGGCCCGAGAGGCGGGGGCAATGTGAGGACCGCCGCCTGCTGCGCAAGCTGCAAATCTCTCAATGCCATATGCTTATGCTGTTGTTAGGTGGGATTATGTGGCTTTCTGTCAAAGAGGGCGCGCATTTGATAACGGAACCTGGGCAAATTGCGGACAAGCTCTCTTTAGGGGCAACTAGGACAATAGGATGGGACTTTGCCGCTTACCCTTGCTATAACGTGACCCTCATTGGAAGCCCAAAGAAACAGCAGCAATATTAGCACCGTTGCCAAAAGGCACGGAAATAGATAATCTTTCAGGGCAGTAATATTGCTACACCGCCTAGAATCGGAATTTACCATGAAATCCTGCCGGTACTTCCTTAGCTCAATAACATGATAATCGCGACCAAATCCGCGATTTAGGAGCCTCATGTAAATTATGCATGCTAATCTGTTACTCTGTGCTTTTTACTATTAGCAGGAACCTGGTATTTGTCTGTATTGCGAATGCTTAAACATACTTTCCTTGCATACGGACGTCCAATCCTAACCTTCCCACAATTGCCTTACCTCAACCAAAAACGCCTGCAACGCTCAATTTCTGGAAGCAATTCATCACGCGGGCTGGCAAAAGCACCGTGCATCATTAAGCAGCCGTACAGCGTGTGGGACGAGCTGAAGTTCTCACGCCGTGCGTGGCACAAAACGCCCTGGCATAACTTCTTCGGCCAATTGATAGCGCCTTACAAAGGGCAGCTATTAACTTAATTTTTAGAGTCGACATTTATTACGTGAGGATAGCGCCGCCTAAAACTCGCCAGGCTCTCCGACACTACCGGTTAAAGTCGCTAGGATGCAGCTTCGCGGGCCTTTGACTTCAGCTGCCCTTAAAGGGCATCAGACGTCTTGCACTCGTGTGCTGGCAGTGCCCAGGTGTGCTGCGCCGAAAGTGTCCATGTTTCGGTCACGTGCGTCATTGCCGACTCCGCGCCACTGACAGTCGCTATCGCACATGCAGAGCCGTTTCTCATGTACCCGTTGGGAAGGCAGTCACGGGCATGCTTATTCAGCAAGGTATGGAACCTGGCTTTCCGCCGGTGCAACATGCCGCGCGAATTCGCGCCGGCGAGGAACCCTTTTCGGATCCTGACATTGCCCGGATCCCTCACAGGCGCCCTCGCCGTCTATCGCAATTGCCGAACTGTTGTGGTTCCAAAAGCTGTTCTACAAGAGCCGGTAAGCCAGGTGATTGGTCAATCCAAATCGACACGCCAGCACGGCTTGCCAACCACAGCCATAGACTTCATCCTTGCCTGACCTTGAGCGTTTCTCGAAACCACGCAGGCCGTGGGCTCGGGAGTTGCGAAACATCTGACGGCCGCTAGGGCCGGGCAGGTAGTGCAGCTGTATCGCTACCCTGGCCTGAGCGATTCCACCATCAACACATTGCTTCGCAAGGTCTGTGGATCAAACCCTGGTTGCTGCGATTTGAATATATGCTCACGGCCGGGGGGGGCATCGGCCGGGGACACCTGTGGAGGGGAAGAGGGTGGTTGACGGGAAGGATGAGATGTGGAGCGGGGCCGCTGTCGACCCTGTACCGGCTGTCAAATGGTAGCGGTGGAGGGGAGAGGCTTCATCGAGCTGGGGGGTTGGGATTCGTGTCGATGCGTGTAGGCCTGCAACGTGCAGGCCTACTACCTACATACCTATGCAGCGTGTGCCTTTTGCAGTTGCAGCAGGGGTGCATGGCGAGCATGCATGCATGTGCAGCCCATGGCAGGCTTACTAAGCTGCCATCCTTACTGTCCAAACCGTTAGCGAGGGGTCCAGCCTGTCTGTCTGTCTGTCTGTCCATCAAGAAGTCCCACAGCCATACAACCTGACCACGAGCAACAGGCCGCGTGTTGATGAGCTGGGTGGGGTAGCACAGCTCCCCGTCGCCAGGTCCATCCCGGGAAGACAGGGACAGGCGGGTCGGGGGTGTGGGGGGCAGTATGGTCCGGCTAGAGGTAGTGACATGAAATTGTTGCTGCCGCCGTACGGTCCGACGCGTGCATGCATGTGCATGGCGGCCCATCCCCCCAAACACACACACACACACTCAGACACGTCTTTCCCGCCAACACAGACACCGGCCAGCTAAGTTCCCTGCCCCCATCACCCCCCCGCCTGGCCCTTTCATCCCTTCCGTTGAGTGAGTGCTACAGACCCACGAGAAGGTGACCACCGCCATCACCCGTATAGACGGCGAGCAAGTAGGTGCTGGGTGGGGGTGTGTGTGGTGAGGGAGGTGGTGGTGGTTCCGCCGGGGGATGGGGGCTCGGGGTGCGGGGCCGGGGCTATGTGACAGGGACAGGATCTAGATGAAACACCCATGCGTGACAGGCAGAGATACAGATGCACAACAGGCCTCCCGGGGAACAATGCGTTTCTGGGCTGGAGTCGGCACCGGGGAGTTGGGCCGTGGGGCGGCCTCCTCTGGATCTCTTTCTCGCTCTTCCTCCCCCCTTTTTCTGTCTTGCTTTCTCTGGCTGACTCTCCTTTTCTCTTCTGCCCCACATCCACCTTACTTGTCACTTACTGCTGTTTTATGGTTGACCCCTCCACACGCACCATATCGCCCTCCATGGTCCTCTGTGTTCGCCCCTCCCTGGACCCGCTCAGTGCTACAACATCGCGCTGACGAAGCCCCTCAGCTCGACGGAGTCGGAGACTCTGGCGTGGTGGGTGTGGTGGGTGGGTGGGTCTGGGTGGGTGTGGTGAGTGGGAGGCCTCCCACCCACCGCACCCTAGGGTGCGGGTCCGGTGTGATGGGTGGGTGAGTCTGGGTGAGGTGTCAGTGGGTCATTGTCATCAGATCACCTGCAACCCCTCCGGCTCCGGAACTACTCTGGGCAGTTACGCAACATATCGCTTTAAGGACTCGTACGGCAGTTGGTGGCACTTTGGACGGACGTCGTCACCCCCAGCAGGCCGGCAGGCAGCTGCCCCGTCGCTTCTTCCACCACTCCACCAAATCGCCCCCAACCCCCACCCCACCCCGCCCCACCTGGCCTCTCGGGAACCCCCTACCCAACCCGGCCCCCCCTCAGGCTGCTCCGGGAGACCTTCGAGCCCGAGTTGCTGACCCCCAGCAGCCAGCTGCCCGCGGACTCAGCCACGGTGACGGTTGTGGAGGTGGGGCCGCGTGCCGCCTTCGCCACCGCCTTCTCCACCAACGCCGTGTCCATCTGCTCCTCCGTGGGTCTCAACCAGGTAGGTGCGGCTGAGCATTGCGGGGGGACCACTGACGAACCATAGACGAATGGAGCAGGGACCATAGACAGCGTAGAGGGGATCTATTTGGTTCCGTACTTCTTCCCCAGGACAACAAAACCCGATACACTCTCTAACCCGCTGACAGACACGTCATTTCGCCCTCCGAACACACACATACAGACATACATATAGACACACATACATATATACATACATATATACACGTGCGCCTCAAGTGCACTCTTACCCCCCTTCCCCCCTTGCACTCGCAGGTGAACCGCCTGGAGCGCAGTCGCCGTTTCGTACTGCACTCTACACGGGCGCTGACGGAGGGGGAGAAGACGGCCTTCTCCGCGCTGGTGCACGACCGCATGACGGAGGAGGTGTACCGCCACCCCGTCAGGTCGTTCACGGAGGGATTGCAGGTGTGTGTGCGTGTACGTCTGTATGTTTGTATGGGAGAAGGGACCTTTGGGAAGCAATATGTACCTATTGGCCAGTGCGCGCGTTGGTGTTCGTGTGTCTATATGTCGGTGGTGGTCATGAGGGGCGGGGAGGGAGAGGTCGTTTCCTTGACCAGTTAAACCGCCGAAAAAACGAGGAGAAAGCAAGAGATGAAGGGGGGTGGGAGAGGAGAGGGGAGGCTAGCTGACATGTAGGGGTCCGGGGAATGCAGCCGAGGTGGAATCATGAAACCAACGCACGTTTGGTGTCCCGAGGTGGGAGGATGTGTGTATCTTTGGTCATGGTGGTGGTGGAGGTGGTGGTGGAGGTGGTGGTGGTGGTGGTGGTGGTGGTGGTGGTGGTGGTGTTGAAGCCCGATACCGGTGTTTGCATCTTCCCTCCTAACCCACCGCATCTTCAATCCTAACTCTCTTCGGCCCCGATGCCCCCCCAACCCAACCCACTCTTGCCCTGGCAGCAGCTTCACTCGTGTGTGGTTCGTCTTTCTCCCCCCCCCAAAACCCCTCCTCGACCCCCCCCCCTCAGGCGCCAGCTCCCACCTTCACCATTTCGGTGATGGCTGAGGGCCGTGCAGCCCTGGAGAAGATCAACAAGGTGGGGGGGAATGGGGGGGGACGGGTCGTCGTGAAAACGGGGTTTTCTTCAACGGGGCATTATTGGGGCCGGCAAGTGTCTCTTCTTCGTTTTCTTCGAAGGGAGCCCCAAAATCGGTGCGTACAATGTGTAATGAATGCGCTGCTGCTACTGCTGCAAGTGCTGCTGCTGCTGTTGATACTGATGTTGATAAGTCTAATGCTCTTCCTGCCGTCCTCAGGAGATGGGTCTCGCCTTTGATGAGTGGGACCTGGACTACTACACGGCACTGTTCCGTGACGACATGAAGCGGGACCCCACCAATGTGGAGCTGTTCGACATAGCCCAGTCCAACAGCGAGCACTCCCGCCACTGGTTCTTCCGAGGGAATATCGTCATTGACGGGCAGCCGGTACGGTGCGGCTACCCGGTACACGTCAGAACACATGCGCTGTGTATGTATGTATGTATGTATGTATGTATGTATGTAGAGCCTGTCTGCCTGCCGGTTCGCATATCCTCATTTCTCTGGAACATACCCGTCCATACAAATAAATATAACAACAACAATAATAATAATAATAAATTATAACATTAATAATATTATTATTATTTCCTTTCATCGTATCTGCCATTCACGTCAACGCAGATGGACGACACTCTGTTTAACATCGTCAAGACGCCCTGGAAGAAGAACCCCAACAACTCCGTCGTGGCCTTCAAGGACAACTCCTCCGCCATCCGCGGCTTCCAAGTGCAGCCCCTGCTGCCCGTGCAGCCCGGAGCGCCCTCACCGCTGGCCCCCCAGGCCCGCGACTGGGACCTGCTGCTGACCGCCGAGACCCACAACTTCCCGTGCGCGGTGGCGCCATTCCCTGGAGCAGAGACCGGAGCCGGGGGCCGCATGCGCGACACACACGCCACCGGTACCGGGTCCATCATGGGCGCCGGCACGGCAGGTAGGTGCCCCGCAACCGTGGGGGGGGGCTCCTTTGTCGGTGTGTGGGTCGTGGTGGTGGTGATGGTGGGCGGATGCTCGGTTGGGCTCTTTGCCGTGCTGTGTTTTGCGTCCTCTAGCTGGCACGTGCTTTGTTGAGGGACGCGTGCAAGAAACCAAGACCTCGAGAACCCCGCATGTGTAGAACTTGGGGAGTTCGCATTGCACTGCATGCTCTTTCACGTAATTTCTCCCGCGACATTAGCAACATCAGCAAGAGTAATGACAACGGCGATGCAAACGACGCAGGGTATTGTGTCGGCAACCTTCGGCTTGATGGCTACGTTCAGCCACACGAGGACCCCTCCTTCGTCTACCCAGACAACCTGGCGCCGCCGCAACAGATCCTGATTGACGCCTCCAACGGCGCCTCGGACTACGGCAACAAGTTCGGAGAGCCGCTCGTCGCCGGCTATTGCCGTACGTACGGCCAGCGGCTGCCCAACGGAGAGCGCCGCGAGTGGCTTAAGCCCATCATGTTCTCGGGGGGTGTGGGGCAGGTGAGGGGGAGGGTGGGGGGAGATAGTAGGGGTGTATGTGTGTGTAAAAATATGGTGATGGGGAATGGCGTCCACTGCGGAAATGGGTCGATGTAATGCTCTCGGGGGGGAAGGAGGAGGAGGACGGTACCCAAAATGATGACGCATTAAAAATCATTTAGGAGGTGTAGAAATGGCTGTACGTCTTCGGTGTGTAAATATACATGTACCCACACAGGCACATTAAAGACGTCCAGCGATGTATAAAGTTTTTAACATAAATGGTGTGTGCGGGTCTCCTTGGGAAGGACAGGTGCCGTGGGCGTGGCGCGGACCTACTCTCGTCCAACGGCAGGTTCCCGCTACCCACCTACTTGTCGAGGGGTGGGGTGAGGGGGGGAGGAGGGGGAGGCCGATGTGGCATAGTGTAAAACTACTTTTTTTTCATTTTTCAGTGACTCTTGCAACCTGACGGTCTTATATTATCCGAGTAAATAAAAAGTTAATAATAACTTTTTATTTTTATGTAATAATATAGAAGTGTATCAACATTTTATCTAAATAAATAAGTACTTGTGCTGTTGGCTCATCTGCAGATCGATCATCGCCATTTGGAGAAGCAGCCCCCGGAGGTGGGCATGCTGGTGGTCAAGATTGGGGGCCCCGCATATCGCATCGGCATGGGTGGCGGCGCCGCGTCCTCCGTACCCTCGGGGTCCAACAAGGCGGATCTGGACTTCAACGCTGTGCAGGTAAGGGACGGGATGCCGTACAGTGCCGTTTACGGTGAAGTGCTATGGCCCACAGTAAGCTGATGAGGGACTAGTTGGGTGGTGAGGTAGGGGGCCCCCGACGGCACCGACCACTGTGTGCGGAAAAAAAACATATAAAAAAGGTAATTCTTTTCTCTTGTTTTGTATGTTGTTCACCGTTCATTGTTGTTCACATGTTTCTATGCAACTTGCATCAATATACGTTTACGCGAATGATTAATATCCATTCAATCATGCCTTTCAAGTGTATTTGGCTCTCCCTGCATTTCTCTACTCGCAGCGCGGCGATGCGGAGTACAGCCAGAAACTCTGGCGTGTGGTGCGGTCGTGTGTGGAGCTGGGCGACCGCAATCCCATCGTGCAGATCCACGACCAGGGCGCGGGGGGCAACTGCAACGTGGTCAAGGAGATCATCTACCCGCTTGGTGCCGAGATCGACGTGCGAGCCGTCAAGGTTGGCGACGAGACGCTGTCGGTGCTGGAGATTTGGGGTGCGGAGTACCAGGAAAACGACTGCCTGCTCATTACGCCGGATAAGAGGGACTTGATGCAGTCCATCTGCGACCGAGAGCGCTGCTTTATGCAGGTAGGGGGGGTGGAGTGGTAGGGGGGGTGGAGTGGGACATGGGCAACGGTGTTTGGGTTGGTGAGTGGTTCGGTGGGTTATTGCTTCCGTTTCCGTTTCCCTCCTCCCCACCATTGGCTTCTAAATTCTTATTCTTGTCCTCCGTTTGCCGCCCGGAGTACTTGGCTGTATATCTACCCCTCTTTCCGACCCCGCCGCAGTGCACTTACAGACCCCCGCTCCCCCTCGTCACGTGGGGGAACCCCCTCGCAGGTGATTGGTACCATCGACGGCAGTGGTCGGGTGAAGCTGGTGGACCGCAACGCCCCCCCGGACACCCCCCCGGCAGTGGACCTGGACCTAGAGAAGGTGATGATGGCGCTAGGGGGGAGTGGGGCGTGGGAGCGCGGTTATGGGAGTTTTGGACAGTTCCGGACGGGGGCCGTGTGGCGGGGAAAGGGGGGGATGGAACTTGCAGGGAAGCGAGCGAAGAATGCTGTGGGTAGGTGAAAGGAGCGCGGGTAGCAAACCGAAGATGCTCTTTTAAAACACCTAGACCTTTCCCTCTTTTCCTACCCCTCTGCAGCCGTCCTGCAGCCTCTCCCTCTCCCCATTTTTTTCTTCTCGTGTATGCGTGCATGATGCATGTATTATGTCGTGCGTAACGTTTCCCCCTCCCCCCTGGCTCGTTACTGATTCTGGTCCAGGTGTTGGGCAAGATGCCTGACAAGACCTTCAACTTCACTCGCACGCCCAACACGCTGCAGCCGCTGTCCCTGCCCGCCGGGGAGAGCGCCATGGCGGCGCTTCACCGGGTGCTGAGACTGCCCTCCGTCTGCTCCAAGCGCTTCCTGACCAACAAGGTACGTGCGTGTGTGCTCCACACACACTACACAACGCATCAAGAAACTTTTCCGATAAAACACAAGGCAACGCAATGCGGGGCGTCCAGTCCCCGCCCTAACGGGATTCTTTTTCAGTGCCCCTTGGGTCTTTTAACACACCCGCCTACGCGTCTTGTAAATAATATGCGTGTAACCCCACTACCACCTCTGCCTCCGCTACCGCCGTACACGTGCAACCCGCCTCCTCTCGTTTTACATTTGACGCGTATGTGTGTTTACGTGTATGTATATGTGTATGTATGCATGTATGTATGCCCCCTCCGCAGGTTGACCGTCACGTGACGGGTCTTGTGGCGCAGCAGCAGTGTGTTGGCCCCCTGCACATCCCCCTGTCTGACGTGGCGGTGTTCGCCCAGTCGCACCAGAACCACACGGGCCTGGCCACGTCCATTGGCGAGCAGCCCATCAAGGGGCTCATCAGGTGCGGGTGCGGCCTGGGTGTTGGAAAACGCACTGGATGGATTGGTGAGGGAGGGGAATGCTGTTGCTGATGGTGGTGGTGGTGCTGCTGCTGCTGCTGAGGATATGCTGATGATGACGACAGGGAGGTTATTGAATGGGGTGATGGGCTGTTGACCCTCGTGACGCTCCTCCGTGCGTGGTCTCAGCATCGACTGGCCCTTTGGACTCGGCTGCTGTTGTACTTGCCCTTTCCTTTTTGCAATTTGCACCATACTTGCATAGAGTGTGTAGCTATTCGCCCTTCCACTGCCGTTTTCTTCCTCGTACATCTCCCCCCTCAACCTGCCCAGTACTGAACCCCCCGGACCGTCCGTCTAAATCCCGCGTATCTGCTTCTTTACTCCTCTGTGGTTCGTCTTAACCCCCCGTCACCCTCCGCACCTCCTTATTCCACTCCCCTCTGCCGCCCCTCCTCCCCTCAGCCCCCCCGCCATGGCTCGTCTAGCCCTGGGTGAGGCACTGACCAACCTGGTGTGGGCCCGGGCCACGGCTCTGGCGGACATCCGCGCATCCGTCAACTGGATGTACGCCGCCAAGATGAAGAGCGAGGGCGCAGCTATGTGGGACGCCGCCATCTCCCTGCGCGATGCGATGGTGGACCTGGGGGTCGCGTGTGACGGCGGCAAGGACTCCCTATCCATGGCTGCCGCTGCTGGGGGCGAGACGGTGATGGCGCCGGGCAACTTGGTGGTATCGGCGTACGTGGGATGCCCGGATATTACCCAGGTACGTGGCGTGGCGGGTGCTGGTGGTCGGAGGGGTGTGTGCGGGTGCGTGTGTGTGGAGGAGTGGGGGCCGGGTGGGTCAGCAGGTTTAATGGTGATAAAGGGAAGAAGAGAGAAACGAGGTTGGATTTGTTTTCTTTGGGAGCATGATTGGGGGGGATGCTGGGCAGAAGGGAGATGGGGAAGAGATTTGTGTGTGTGTGGGGGGGGGGGGAACTACTTTGATTTGGTTTTCTTCTTTGGAATGTCGGAAAACCAAACCACAAGCTCAGAAGTGCGACGCGTGTGTGAAAGCGTGCAGGTGGGAACGTGATGTGTTTGTGAAAACGTGTATGTGTATGTGTACACACATCCCACATGTGTCTCCACCGGCTCACACGCCCTGCACACACGGATCCTTGTGGCAGAAGGACCCCAGCTAGGATATCCCCCTGAATCCCCCTCGACAGGTGGTGACTCCCGATCTGAAGCTGGGTGACCGCGGCGTGTTGGTTCACGTGGACCTGGCGGCTGGCCGGCGGCGGCTGGGTGGCTCCGCCCTGGCTCAGGCGTACGGCCAGCTTGGTGACGACTGCCCTGATGTGACCAGCGCGACACTTCGTGGTATGTGGGAGGCGACCCAGGCGCTGGTGGCCGGCGGGCAGTTGGCGGCCGGACACGATATCTCGGATGGCGGCCTGGTGACGACGTTGCTGGAGATGGCATGTAGGTGTGCGGGTGTGGCCCCGACCCGCTCTGTCGCACCCTTCTTCCCATTTAGATATTTGGGCTGGTTGAGGGGGGCCATGTTTGGGGGCATGCGGACTGCTGTCTGGGGGGTCATATCGGCACAGTGAAGTGTTGTGTGTATGATGATGATGATGACGGGATATAAAGGTGATGGGTCCTTTCCGGGTTACGTGTGGGGAAGTTCTTTCCAGCTGTATGGAGGTTTGGAGGGCGTGGTTTTCATTCCGCGCCATCCTCTCGCCCTGTTATCGCTTCTTCTTCACTCCTGCTCACACAAAGACCGCCGAACTGACCCCCTTGTCTACGCGCCCTTCGCCCTTACAACCCTACGCGGCCCCTTTCCCACACTTCCGGACATCATCCTCAGTTGCGGGCAACTGCGGCATCTCTGTGGAGTTGCCGCTACCTGCCCACCCCGCGGATGCCGGCCACGGCGCCATGGGCAGTCTGTTCGCCGAGGAGCTGGGTCTCGTGGTGGAGGTGGAGGCGGGCACGGAGGCCGCCGTCATTGAGACATACAAGCTGCACGGCATCCACGCCGCCGTGATCGGCAAGGTGCGTGTGGGCATGTGTTGCGTGTGTGTACGTGTGTATGTGTGTCTTTTCTGGGTGGCGGCGGATAGGGACGGAGGGGGGGGGGACTGGAACCTGCTGAAGCCCCGTGATTAGCGATAGTGGTGGCTGTGGTAGCGGGACGGTGGAATGGGGCGGTGAGGGGATGGTGGCTTTAGGGAGGGAAGCCAGCAGCCCTGAAAGACGTGGAGGTGGAGGTGGAGGTGGAGGGGCTGCTCGCTATTGCTACCCACTTCACCCTCCTCTCTGCATCCCCCCCCCAACAATTGCATCCATCCATCCATCCACGCATGTTTACGTCTACACGCCTCCACCTGTTTCCCCTCGCGCACTTCCCCACCTCTGCACTCCACCACCGGTGTGTGTGTGTGTTTTCCTTCCCCAGGTGTCCTCGGGCCGTGACGTGGAGGTCAAGGTCGCGGGCTCCTCCGCCATCTCCGGCGACGTCGGCGCCCTGCGTGACGTGTGGGAGGAAACCTCGTTCGTGCTGGAGCGGCTCCAGGCTGCGGAGGACTGCGTCGCCCAGGAGCAGGCTGGGCTGAAGGACGCGCGGGCGCCCAGATGGGTTTTGCCCTTCACCCCCGCCTTCACGCCCGCTGACAAGCTGACCGCCGCGGATAAGGTCCGCGTGGCCATTCTCCGCGAGGAGGGTTCCAACGGTGATCGGGAGATGGCGGCGGCGGCGTTTGCTGCGGGCATGGAGCCGTGGGACATCACGATGAGTGATTTGATCAACGGGCGGGCCTCCCTGGACACGTTCCAGGTACGGCTCGGAAAAAATAGGAATACGATATGCACACGTGTGCACGATGCGCTGCATACACGACACGTGGGTATGAGCATTGTGTGTCGATGAAATAGAGGTTGGAGGTGGAGATATACTAAAATGGTGAGAGAAGGAAAAAAGAGGAAAGGAGCGAGATTTATTTAATGAGAATGGAAAAAAGGAGGGAGGGAATTGAGAAAAGGGACCAACATGTCTGATGTGTGTTGACAACTCCGCAGGGTATCATTTTCGTGGGTGGCTTCAGCTATGCGGACGTGCTGGACAGCGCCAAGGGCTGGGCGGGCACCATCCGCTTCAACGACCGCCTACTGCAGCAGTTCCGTACCTTTTACAACCGACATGACACCTGGTCGTTGGGAATCTGTAACGGTTGCCAACTGATGGCTCTGTTGGGCTGGGTGCCGGCGCCGGGAACGCAGCAGATTGCGGATGTACGACAGCCTCGGTTCGTACACAACAGCAGTGGCCGATTCGAAAGCCGATGGGTGCAGGTAGGTGGGCGGGAGGGGGGGCGGGAAAGGGCGGGTCTCGTGTGTGCGCGCCCCCGCCCGTGTCCTCTGCGTGTTCGTGTTGCGTGCATGCATCGCTTTTCGTCCATGGATCCCTATTGCCGAGTGAATCAACTCCTCCTAACCCCCCGGACCCTTCCTCCGCTGCTATATATCGCGCCACAAGTGGTCGCAAACCCGCTACCGTATTCACCGCCCCGTCTTTCACCCACGTCACCGCCCTCGCACCTCGCGTTCCGCAGCTTTACCTTTCACCTCCCGTCCCCACCCATACATACAAAGTCCCATTCCCACTCCCACTCCCACCCCAAACCGCACCCGCACAGGTTCGCATCCGGGAGAGTCCCTCGGTGCTGCTCAAGGGCATGGAGGGCAGCGTGGTGGGGGTGTGGTGTGCTCACGGTGAGGGCAAGTGCCTCTTCCCGGACGACCAAGTCAAGCAGGAGGTGCTGAGCAAGGGCCTGGCGCCCATCCAGTGAGTCATGATCACTGGATAAAGGAGATATTTTTTGGTTCTGGTTCCGGAGCTGGGCCTAACTTATGATTTCTTGGTTCTGGAGCTGCCATAGTTTTGTTTTGTCGAGGCGTTTGCGGCCGGGGTTGGCGGGGGAGGATGGGTTGCTGAACCGCCATTGGATCACCGTTCACTTCGTCCTCAGCGCGTGCCGGTTTCGTCGCATCAACATCCCAAGGTCGCACACTTACCGTCCCTACGCTTCCGACCTTGCACCCACAGCCCCCTCGCCCCCGCTCGCTTGCTCGCCCACCTACAAAGGGGGGGCCCCACTGGGGGGCGATGTCGGCATTTGTCTTGTACTCGTCGCAAACAACTCCTCTCATCCCGCTGGTGCTTGAGATATCTGCAGCAGTTGGCCCTTCTTGCGTCTTGCATCATAGAATTTCCCTTCCACACCACGCCACACCACACCACACCACGTTGCGCCAGACACGCGCGTTCCAACCACTACCCACACCACCTACCTCTTCCACGCAGGTATGTTGACGCCGACGCTCAGCCCACTGAGGTCTACCCCGCCAACCCCAACGGCTCCCCGCTGGGTATCGCCGGCCTCTGCTCCGAAGACGGTCGTCACCTTGCGATGATGCCCCACCCCGAGCGGTGCTTCCTAACCTGGCAGCTGCCGTACGTCCCGCAGAGTCTGGGACTGGACCCCAAGGGCCCCGCCCCCTGGATCCAACTCTTCCAGAACGCCCGAGAGTGGGCTGAGTCGCATCGGGCCGCGAAGTGAAGACATGTATAGCCTTAGCGCTTTCCTTTCCAGAGTCCACTCGCGTTCTGCCCGCGGCTATCCTACCCGTTCGCATTGTGTGGGTGATATACCCTACTGGGCAATTATGGTTATAGCGGCGATGAGGAGGAGGAGGGGGAGGACGAGGGGACTGGAAAGGGGGTGGGGTAGGGAGGGTGGATGGGTTAAGGGCGGATGGCCACACTTCATGACTTGCTCTTGTAGATGTTGATGGTCGTGCGCCGCCAACCATCGGATGACCGGTGGTGGACCGTCTTCTGGGGGGATATGCGCTACACAGGAGCCCTGTTGCTTTGGGAGGTCGTGGGGTGAGGGCTGCCCGCCTGTTCTGCCGGAGGGGCTGTGAGCAATCTCTCGTGTAAGTAGGGATGAGCCGGAAATAGCACATGGGTAGCTGGGTATCGCTTCGTTTAGTTCCGCTACGAAAGGGTCGCACGTTCTTGGCGCCGAGTGCGCCGTGAAGAACAGAACGGGGCCGAAGGCATGGTGGTGGTGACGGCGACCTTGGTGATCCAATATGCGTCGCAGCTGCGTCTGTCTAGCAGTCGTTGTGTGGTTCAGTGCGTTGCTAGGGAGGGGATCGGCCCCCGTTTCCTTCACGGAAAGGTGCCATCGAGGCTTGACGAGGGGGAGGGGGTAATACCCGAACTATTATTGGTCTCGACACGCGTTCGTTCTGATTCTGTTCGTGTTTTGGCGTCATTAAAGACCATGACTGTCATTGGATTGATCTAAACAACAAGGCACGCAGATATAAAATAATAATACTGTCTCCGTTACGAACGTTATGGACTTGCAGTACTTCGACATGTTTTTACTTTTCAGGCATCGCCGCAGCGGTGCTGTACCGGTTTCGTCGCTTTTTGCTTGGCCTGTTTGCTGCTTGCTGTTATGGGGGTTGTCGGAATCCTCTCCGGATGTTATTATTTGTCGTGAGGGGCACAGTGATGGGCGCAGTAAACAATTAAAATCCATAAGGGATATCGTTTTTAAGATCTTATCCTTTTCTCAAGACAAGCGAGAGGTGTTGTAACGACGACAACGACGACAACATGCTGCGGCATCTAGTTGCCGGATAGGGAGCACTTCTCTGCTGCAAATGTGTGATGTTATTTCGGTGGCCCAGTTCTCGGAAAGGTAACTTAGGCACTTACACATGCATTTACAGGGCAGGCATAAATCATGCCTAAGCAGGGTTAAGACGTACAAAATTCAACATCCTCGGTCTCGCACATATGGCAAAATTACTTCAAATGCAAGTAAGAATCTTACCTAAACATCAGAACGGCAGCGAGGTGCATAATGACACAATCGGCGTTGCGAAAGTTGCTTTTCACGGCGCAATGTATATGTGCCTGTTGATGGCGCTTGAATCTGACCAGGTGGGTTTATCGCATAAGACGGGTAAGGTACAGGGTACGGCCAGCCGTACAGGAACGACAGAGTATGTGCCTGGTGCTCCCTAAGAGTGCCGGGGACCAAACGTCGTACCTTGCAAGGAGGGTAGCGAGGCTTTGGGTGGGAGCATGAAATACCGGGGGCTGGTGCCTTCCAGTACCATGTCACAATGCCGGCCTTCCCAACAATCAACCTTGCTGGAAAAGGCCCATCCGGCAGATCGTACAATCTGCACTTGCGACAGCGGAGTACTATGCTTTGATCGGTTTCGGTGGGCATTTGGGTCCGCCAGGTAGCTGCCTTGAACCTCTGCTTTGTGGTTCTCAATCAGCTTTACGTGTATGTATGTTGTTACAGGGTGGTAAAGCTTCACCAGCGGCCCCCTTTCCCGAGGCAGTTCCCTGCTCTCCCCTGCTAGAGGGGCACCCTAATCCATTCACCCCATCAGACTACAGAGTGTATTCGTCGGGTTCAGCAAACTCACCACCAGCATTCAACCAAATCTAGTGGATCAACGGCGCCTCAACTTAGTTCCTGGACAGCTCGTTGATGATGATATAATGACGTCCTACACCGTCCACAAGATGGGGGGCCACCTCCCAATTCAACACCCCTCAAACACCCGAGGAGCAGGCAGGCGGATATGAACCCGGATGGGCCGGAAGCAGAAGTCAGGCCTTATCCTCTGCCAGCCGCCTGCACGTGTATGTATGTCACTGCTTGGTGGACATGCCTTTGGGTTTCCCCTCTCTAGTTCTTAGTATCAGCTTGTTACGCCTGTTTTCATCACCTCTACTGGCGGTATCTCGGGTTGGTGCTATTGGTCGCCCGGTTCGGGGCGGAAGGCACTTTGTGGCCCTGGGGTCGGAGCGATGAACAATCCGCTGACGCCCGTACAACGGCCATACGGCGGTCGACTGTATGGCTAGTGACTGACTTTGTTGTTGGTCCCCTACCTCCTGGTCGCAGCCTCTAGCAGCGCCACTACTAAAGGGCGGCACTTTAAGGCGGGGGACGGAGAGCAGCAAGGAAATCTCCAGTCTCATCCTGCGGCCAACTGCAAAGTGCAGATGGGGTGGGAGCTGCACGATACCGACAAGGTTAAGGTGTGGCAGGGTTGACCAAGCAGCTCAGACGCCAATCGAGCCCAGAGATCTGGAGGTTAGAAGGACATCCCTTGGAGCCTTGGCCTTGGCCTTCTGTGGACTTCAACAGGCAAGCGGGCAGGTGAATCGGCTGACCAGGTTTGTGGCAATGTTTGGGGCAAAAAGTGCGAGGCAGTAGCTCCGTGCCTTCCTATTATGGATAAAAGAAGTATGGCAAGAGGGTGCGCGGACATGATTACCAAGTTCGCAAGTATAGGTCATGGTTACAGTAGTTGAAAAGCTCGGATCACACCCGTACTTTCGCGGAATACGGTTACAGTCTGTGAGCTAAAGGTGAACTCTGTGGACGCAAGCGCTCTATGAAAGATAAGGATTTTGACAATATGTGTTACTTCCTGTTTTCGGCTTGCGTATGCGATGCAGCTCGAGTCAACTGGACCTGCAGCCCAAATCATGAACAGCTGGAGTAGGCGATGATCATCGTGGATTCTATTACTGTAGCATTGTTGCTTCTATACGGTGTAGTTTACACTTATGGTCTACCCCCATCTCCCGCTTCAGGAAAGTACTCTCATCCTTTGTGCGGGCTGAACTTTACTAAGGCTTCTATAGAACCTGTGGCGAAGAGTGTCACAGATATCACCTCGTTGTTTCAAGGCATTGGGTTGCCTGATGGGGCGTGCGTCTTTAACCCAGCTGTTGTGCACGTCGCCGGCCGGATCTACTGTCTGTTCGCGAGGGTCTACCTAGCAAAGGACCCTTTCAGAAGATGTAGGCTTGGATACCTGGACCGGTCACCATTCCTTGATGGCTGGAGGGGACGCTCCACAAATGTGCTGGCTGTCATCCGGCTCTACCGGCGGCAGGACAGTCGCCAATTGCAGGCCAAGTTGCTGGGCTACTCCTATTTGGGGCACTCAAATCATGAGGACGGTCGTCTATTCAAGGACAAGCATGGCAGGCTCTTCGCGTACTTGGCACTACCCTTGGGCGCCCCTCCTAAGCGCGCAGTGATCAACACTGTCTCCCGCGTCCTCATCCGTTGTACCCGCGCATCCGACAACTGCACCGTGTCGCTCGGCTATCCCAGGCTCTTGTCCTATTTCGGCGAAAGCGTCATGGACAAAAACTGGGTGCCATGGAACGGAACTGCGCTCATGTCCTACTCGCATTACGGGACGTTCGGACCACACTCCGTCTTCAATTGGAGCTCTTACGACGAGCCCACTTTCCACACCGGGTTCGACTTTGTTGCTGAGGACTCGGTGTTTCCCATGTTTGCAGCCCGCTATGGCAAACTGATGCACCTATCCGGGGGCTCGCCGGCCATCATGGAGGACGGTGGCCAGTCGTTTTTGGCAGTGGGACACCTGAAGGCGCACCCGGGGTGCTTCCATCCAGAGGTGACACCCGAGTGGTTCAACAGGTCCCTCTCCAGTACGATGTACAGCCAAGTCCAGAGCCGGTGTGCCCATCTGGCGTCCACCAGCAACACCGCGCAGAAGCAGGTGGAGCTCGGGGTGGCTTTCACTTTCGGGTGGGTGAGAGCAGTCGGAGGGTGGATGGCAGACAGCCGAGGGTGAGGGGGAATCACCGGTGAAGGCGTTAGATAACGGACGAATGCCGCGGTGAAAACGGAGCGAGCTGGAAGTGAGCCCTTGGCGGCGGGGTGGATGTATGGGATATACGAGAAGGCCCTGAAAAATCCATTCCGGCCGTGTACGCCGTCTCCATCCCTTCTAGCCACCTGACGACACGTGACGTACCGCCCACGAGTTGCGACGCGCTCTGCGATTTGGAGGGTTACGTGTGCGCGCGTCCACTCATCCCAACCCATGTGTCCGGCGAGACAGCCTCGGAGGATGATGATGGCCTCCTGTTCAGCCACGTGACGTGTGAACAACCTGCTGCTGGCCCCCGTGTGTTGATGCAGTTGTGGTTGGGTGCCTATACCTCTTTAATTTCGACAAGCGGTGTAGAGCCGTTCAGCAGCACAAAGTCGCACACCTGGCCCACCACCAACGACCAACCCCGTTTGCAGGCAAGGAGCTGGTGTGGGTATTCACTATCCTCTGGAATACGCCTTCTTCTTCTACAGGTAGGTGGGAAGGAGGGTTTACATTCTCGCGGAGGACTTTCCTGAAAGCCGGAACCGGGGGTAGGTATCGCCCGCGAGCAGTGCTGCTTTCGGCTGCCTCGGCAATATTACTCGGCACTAGGACGGCAAGTAATAGCACTTGTCAATTTTTTGTAAGGAGCAGCAGCTCCCTTTAGCCTCCCCAGTTAACTAGCAGCAGCTCATCGGTTTTCCGTCAATAAAATGATCGTTCTCTTCATTTCCGTTCATACCTGCCCCGCTCATCGCATCCCGCCTGGCTTTCCGGCGCCTTGCTGTTGCTATGGTGGCGGACGAAACGCAACACAACCCAAACCTTGCACTGCCGATCTCATGCGCAGGTTCAGTGCCACCCCTCCGTACAACATGACCCACATCAGCTACGGCTTCATTCCCTTCATCGGTGGTCACGCCTCGGAGCACACCGGCATCGTGTTCCCCATCGGCCTGGAGCGCCTCGGCCCATCTGACTACATCGTCACCTACGGCGACTCGGACCAGGCCAGCAAGATCTTGCTCATCGCAGCCAGCCAGGTGAACGCCATGCTGTGGCCGCTGCCCGAGATCCAGGAGCGCCTGGACGACTACACCGTTTGTGCGCTGCCGTGCCATGAAACGCCGGACTGTACACAATGACGCTTTTTAGGTGTTCCACCCATGAGCCCCTTTTTGTGTCTGTTGGCCCTTACTCCATTAAGGCTCGTATGTATGTATGTTTGTATGTATGTACCTAGGTAGGCATGTACGGACTCTCATGACACCCATGAAGCAGGGTGATAACGCAACACATCAAGGTGTAACAAATGCACACGCACACACACATACATACGTACACACACGCACAACGACGGCTCAGACTATTTGTTTAAGAGTGTGTGTGTATGTGTTTCCTTCTCGTGGGTCAGTTAGTTGAAACACGCACGTGGTGACACGCGGCAGCAGGGCGGGTGGCACCGGAAGACACGGCATAACGTTTGCCTTTGGGTGGAGAAGCGAGAGGCCCTGCGGTTGCCGTTGCGGTTGAGGGCTGGAAGCGAATACTCGCCCAAGCGACCCTCACGGCCCCCGGGCGCAGACAATAGTGCCATGGGGGGGGAGGTAGGAGCAAGAGCCGTGGGGGTTCCACTAGTGGTGCGGCATTCGTGAGGTGCATGGGAACGCAAATTTGCGTTCCGGCCGCGGAGGTGGACGTGTAACGATTTGCTAAGGAGGGCTGGAGCGTGTCTTGATGCGTAAAATGACATGAGTCCGGGTAGCGGGATGCAAATGGGACATGCAGCAGGGTGGATGCAACCTGGTTCAGCGCGCTTCAGGTCTTGCTTGAATATGCGTCCTGGCGCGATGAGGATGAGGAGGTAGGTAACGACTAGCAGGTATATAAATGGTTTTAAATGATGAGGTGGCGCCAGGACGCGAACGTCCCCTCGGAGAGAAATGATGACCGTGAGACCGGGGAAGGGAGGCCGCGAGGCATGGGCATCGGGCTGCCCATTGGATTTGTGGCGAGCAAAGCCGAGCTTAGCTCGTCAGACGGAATGTCATCCTAATGTACACGTGAAATGGGTTACATGCGGGAGCTGGGATGGCGAGTACAGCGATATCTCGGCCAGCATGACAACGCAGCCGAGGGAGGGGTGTGGCAGGACTCCTGCCATCCATGAAGAGCAGCGAATGCTTGGATGATTGCACAGAGTGGCTCCTTCCTCTGTGTGGGTACTGTGAAGGGCACCAACACCAACACCAGCTAGACTCCGTGAAGCAGTAGCATGTACAAACATACATAAGCTATGTAACATTCCGATAAGCGTTGGCCATTCTTTGTGGCTTTGGAAAGTGGGAGTTCAAAGGGGCTTATTTCCGTGGGCTTGCAGACGTGTACGCGGATGGAACCTTGTTCGAACGACCTGAGCCTACCTAACCCACCAGCCAGTGATTTTTTTTTCATTTAGGGCAGGTCTCAATTTATTCCGACCTAAGTAACAAAGTTGCTAAGGTCGCCGTAATTTATTCCATAAGTGTGGGGCGCTGGGGGCTACGCCCCCCCCAGACCCCCCCCATAAGTTACAACTCCCCTCATAGACCAAGACCGCTGGCAGCAACGCCATTGCCGATGCATTACCGACAACAGCACCGCCGTCCCAAACGCCTTTATCAGGAAATTTTTCAGGCTTATCTTGCTGTTTTGGTGTTTGTTCGACGTTCGAGCCGTTGCCTTTTGCGTGTTTGGCTATGTGAGGACCGGTCATACATTCTGCTATGCCGCGTTGACTCACGGGCTTGACCTTCTTACGGCCCCTCATATCTATTCTATGATCGATAATACTAAGTTCTGCACACTACGGAGCAATCTGGCAGCAATGGACGTTTTTGGCTGGAGGAATGAAAATGTACGGATCGGCCTCAATTCATTCCGTTTTTCCAGAGGCCAAAATGGCCTCTTTATTCCTTATAAGGAATATATTACTTAAATAAAAAACACTGCCACCAGCCCGGCTCGTATCGATGACCTATGCATGCAGCGATGTAATGTCGTCTTCTCTGCAGGTGGTAATATGGTGGGATGGTGCCTCCGACGTGACAGGTGCGCTCCTTCATGGCTTGCTGCTTGTTGCCCCTGTTGTCAAGCGTACGCAGTCGCATGTAAAGTTATCGGGTTCTTACCAGGCTTTCCTTTCACCTGACCTGCTGATTCTGCAGCCTTATTACCCTGCACACAAAGCCACACACGCTATGTGCTCTGGCGTCATTCTCCCTATCATCACCTTCAAAGGAATACAGCTGCATTTCCTACTTGATTGCTGTAGTAGCTGCTTCAGTAAAGGTGCGCATCTTGCCTTCAACCCTTACATGAGGCGGCTCAGTTTCTTTGCACATGTACACAGCCACGTACACAGCCACGTACACGCACAAAACTGGGCTAGGTCTCTCCGCGTTGCAACATAACAGCATTTCAGAAGCGTTTGATGAGCGGATAGGATGACAATGGCGTGTAAAAGCAGAGTGGATAGTGTTGGAACATCCTTCCAGCAGCACTTAGCAGCAGCCAGGTGGCAGCCGGGCTGGTTGTTCCGATGACAAAACATAATCAAACACTGAATGGCCTCCTTCCATTTGGCCGTGAGAAGGCATGATGATGTGGATGCCTTCTAACCCATATCAGTACACGTTCATATTGCGCCTGGCACACCGAAACCTATCTAGCTTGTCGCGACATTTTAGCGTCACGTTCACCTAAGGCACTTTGCACTTGGAACGTGTACTCGGTCCCACAAAAAATCATTTGTTCCTTTTCGACGTTCCCTCTGCATACATCTGCTGATCTAGCCGGCGAACACGTGGTTACATGTGGCTTTCTTTCCTTTTCTTCCATTTTCATTTCTGTACTGTGCTGTTCTCTGCATCCGAGTGCCATTCGGCAGTAGGCGGTGGGAACGCCGTGACACCCTTTCACGGCTAATGACATGCAACCGGTTTGCAGGTACGGTGTTTACGCAACCCCAGGCAACCCCAGGCGTAGAACACTCACTCGCTTCCGCACTAATACAGACACCAACACAAACAAACAAACAAACAACACACACACACACACACACACACACACACACACACACACACACACGGCAACATGCGTTCCCATGGTATCGTAGATCGCATAGGTTATTTTCTATCCACTCGTCGAATTTCACATTGCACTCGGGTCAGGGGAGGCCTATGACGGATAAGGTAGGCAATGAGAACAAAGGACGTCTGGTAAAGGAGTCCGGCATGAGGGGCGAAATGGTGTGAAGGCAAGCCTGTCAGGTTATTTCAAAATAGAAGCAAGCCATATTTTATTAGGTTCTGGTTCTAACCCTTGCGCCTTACTGGTATAGTAGGTCCCGCCTGACGCAGCTGTTGGCCTGCTGAAAGGGCCCGCTGAGGTGTTCACAAAATTAAATGCGCAAGACCAAGCAAGGCGGATTCGCTATTAGAGATGCTCCTTTGTACAATGTCCCTAACTCCCTAAGGGATGCTTTAGCCCCTAGAGGACTGATACGAGGTACAATCAATGGGGGGAAAAGGGGCCAGTTTGCCCACCCTTGGAGCATCTACACCGAGCTCAGGCCCAAGCCCACCCCAAGAACCCTCATTAGCTGTGAAAGGAGTCCTCAAAATAACCGGGGCCGGTAGACGAGGGCTCATGCAGGAGGATGGGGAAATAGTTACAAAGGCAGGCTAAGGAAGCCATTCCGCGTCCATAAATGAAGGCTGGGGAATACCATTTGCGTATGCCACCGCAAACATTGAAAGGCATAATAACATCAAGGCCAAGGCTTATTTAGACGGCAACTCAAGTTGCGCCAATGACCACTGTCTAGTTGCCAGTTATGTGAGCGTGTTAGCCACCAGCCTAAACGGCATAAGACAAAGATCCACCTCGCATAAGCTGATCAAACGGGCATCACATTCACGGGCCAGAGCCGGTCGCACCCCTTCACCACAGAGATCCGCAATGTCGGAAAGCATCAACTCCAGCTGCCGCAATTCTCTGCTTGTAGCAATTTGCATTGCAAAGCAGATAAGAGCGCAAACGAGACGGCTCCAGCTCCTGCTCATGCAGTTGAGCAGAGTTAGTAATCCATAGGGCCGACGTCTATTAGCCGGTTAGCGTCCTCTAGTTAGGGTGGCATAACTGTCATTCCATCCCACTAAAATGGTTTTTTTGTTATGTCTGACTGGCGCAGTAAAAGTAGTTTTAGATTTCCTGTCAGGCAGATACAGCTAACGTGCCAACACAAATGCAATCCTTGCTTCCGCCTGCCCAAGATGACTTACTGTCATGTGTGAACATGGTAAACCCTCAAAACCTTCATGCAACTGGACGGCTAGCAACTACATTGTACGACTTCAGTTGCAGGTTTTCGCTGGTCAGATTGTTGCTTCCTGTTATATAGGTACAACTATTTTCCAAATCAACCAGACTGATTCGTAGTTACACAATTCCAAGGCCCTGCACCAGCCATTCGATAAATAGTTCTGCCTTATGTAAACAGATAGGGCATTTGTGCTCAGCATCCAAGAAAACTGGCGTTGAACTTCGTTGATGCTATAATGGATAAAGCTTACGCGTTCTGCCGCCTTCGGAGAGCGTCGGTCGTGTTGGTCATCCTCGCATGTGCTTTCGCGCACGTCCACGGCGCCCGAAAACTTCATCAAGATTTACATAAAGTTGAAGGTAAGTAACATCATTATATTTACAATTGTACACTGACAGCTAGTCCTAGTCCTGCTGAGGGCGACGTCCCACGAAAGATGTCAGACTACCTGCTACCACCCGGCAACACAAGATGAAACAGTGACGAATCCGCATTTCTTGATGCCTTTTCATATGCAGATATCATGCAAGGTGGTGAGTTTTTTGACGCTCAATCCGAGTCCCACATGAAAGCAATAGAGTCAGCCCTCGCAGCACTTACGGCCGAAGACAGCGACACTCTCCACCGCGTGCTCTTAGAAGGCGCAGCTGCTTATCCACCTTCGCAGCCTCCATCTCCGCCTACTCCATCCCCATCTTCATCGCCGCCCGCTCCTTCCCCTCCGCCTCCGCTCCCACCTGGCTTGGCGATCGAGATCGGCGAATACAGCGCCAAGTTTGTCAACTCGTCCCTCAGCAGGGGTCTTGACCCCACCGATAAGGAATCCTTAGAAGCTTTCGTCGGTGGCTTCAAAAACATTACCGCTGACTTTTTCGGTATCTCGCCCAACAACATTATCGTTCGCGGCGTTTACAAGGGCGGCCAGCAGCTCACTCGACGCATGATGCTCGCCCGGTCGGAGCGTACTTGGACCCACCGTCAACTGGCAACAGCTCTCCCGGCCAACTCTAACATGCGCTTGCTAATCCACGTGCGCTCCTACGTCGCCGATGGAGCGACTGTGGGGGCCCTGCGCCAGGCAGAGCGTGACTTGATGCAGTCCGTTCCCAGCATCCCTGCCGCCGCCGCGACCGTGTATACCGCACCGTTGGCTCCCTTGAACCGCGCCATGGCGGAAACGAGCAACGACAACAGTGTGGTGATTGTGGAGTTTACGGTAGTGCAGTACGTCGAGGTGGTTCTGCCGCCGTCACCGCCGCCGTCACCGCCGCTTTCACCGGGCGAAATTGCCCCGCCCAATGTCCCGCCGTCTCCGCCACAACGGCCCACACATCCGCCGCCGCGGCCTCCCTTCTCGTTTGAGCGTCTGGCGGATAGCCTTGGCGCCCTGAAAGTGTACATCACCCTCCCGCCGCCGTCGCCGTCGCCTGAGCCGCCGTCGCCTGAGCCGCCGTCACCTGAGCCGCCGTCGCCTGAGCCACCGTCGCCTGAGCCGCCGTCGCCTGAGCCGCCGTCGCCTGAGCCGCCGTCGCCTGAGCCGCCGTCGCCTGAGCCACCGTCGCCTGAGCCGCCGTCGCCTGAGCCGCCGTCGCCTGGGCCGCCGTCGCCTGAGCCGCCGTCGCCTGAGCCGCCGTCGCCTGAGCCGCCGTCGCCTGGGCCGCCGTCGCCTGGGCCGCCGTCGCCTGAGCCGCCGTCGCCTGAGCCGCCGTCGCCTGAGCCGCCGTCGCCTGAGCCGCCGTCGCCTGAGCCGCCGTCGCCTGAGCCGCCGTCGCCTGAGCCGCCGTCGCCTGAGCCGCCGTCGCCTGAGCCGCCGTCGCCTGAGCCGCCGTCGCCTGAGCCGCCGTCGCCTGAGCCGCCGTCGCCTGAGCCGCCGTCGCCTGAGCCGCCGTCGCCTGAGCCGCCGTCGCCTGAGCCGCCGTCGCCTGAGCCGCCGTCGCCTGAGCCGCCGTCGCCCTTGACACCACCGCCCCTATCGCCGCCGCCGTCATCACCTCTGGCGCCGCCGCCGTCACCACCCGTGGAGCCCGCGTCACCTCTGGAGCCGCCGGCATTGCCTCTGGAGCCGCCGTCCCCACCTTTGCCGTCGTCGCCCCTGACGCCGCCGTCTTCCCCGCTTATGCCCTCGTCGCCCCAGCCGCCCTCTTTGCCGCTGACGCCGCCACCCCAGCTGCCCTCGTCGCCCCAGCCGCCGTCCCCCAAGCCTCCATCGCCGCCGAGTCCTCCATCCCCATCCCCACCGCCGCCCGCTCCTTCCCCTCCGCCTCCGCTCCCACCTGGCTTGGCGATCGAGGTCGCCGAATACAACGCCAAGTTTGTCAACTCGTCCCTCAGCGGGGACCTTGACCTCACCGATAAGAAATCCTTAGAAGCTTTCGTCGGTGACTTCAAAAACATTACCGCTGACTTTTTCGGTATCTCGCCCGACAACATTATCGTTCGCGGCGTTTACAAGGGCGGCCAGCAGCTCACTCGACGCATGATGCTCGCCCGGTCGGAGCGTACTTGGACCCACCGTCAACTGGCAACAGCTCTCCCGGCCAACTCTAACATGCGCTTGCTAATCCACGTGCGCTCCTACGTCGCCGATGGAGCGACTGTGGGGGCCCTGCGCCAGGCAGAGCGTGACTTGATGCAGTCTGTCCCTAACGCCGGCACGGTCCGCACCCGGCCAGTGTACGAGGTGTCGTCAACGGCCGCGGGTCGCATGGCGCAAACGAATAGCGATGGCGGTGTGGTGATTGTAGAGTTTACGATAGTGCAGTACATCGAGGTCTCGCTGCCGCCGTCGCCGCCGCCATCACCCCCGCTGTCCCCCGACGAGATCGCCCCGCCCAACGCACCACAGTCTCCCCCACAACGGCCCACGCATCCACCGCCGCGGCCTCCCTTCTCTTTAAAGGTCTGGCTGATAGCCTTGGCGCCGAGTTAGTGTACATTGCTCCACCGCCCCCGTCACCAGAGCCGCCGTCGCCTGAGCCGCCGTCACCTCGCCCGCCATCGCCGCGACCGCCTTCACCCCGGCCGCCATTGCCCAGGCCGCCGTCGCCTCAGCCGCCGTCGCCCCGGCCGCCGTCGCCCCGGCGACCGCCACGCCGGCCGCGGTCACCTCTGCCGCCGCCAGCGCTGCCAGCCCTGCCGCCAACCCAGCCGCCATCGCCTGTGTCGCCGCCAGACATGCCGCCGTCACCCCTGACGCC